TCGATCGCGGTGCCGGCAACCTCGCCCTCGAACAGGGACGAGCGCGCCTGCGCATCGTCGTCGGCGGCGGCGGCGAGCCCTAGCTCGACGAGCAACAAGTCGGGCGATGAGGGGTCGGCAGAGTTGGCGCCGGCTGCTGCGCGTGCGGCGCCCTCGAGCGCAAGGGCCGCCTCGGCCATCGTCGCCTTGCCGCCCATGGCGACGTAGTCCGAGATGTCGTCCGGGTACAGCTCCCACACCTTGGGCGACTTGTTGCGGCGCGGGCCGTACGGGCTCGGCTTGGCGCCCGAGCGCACGCTGCCGAGCGTCGAGAGCCGGGTTGGGCCCGCCGCGCTCGCCCAGTCGTCCTCGCCGAGCGCCCCACCGCCGCCTGCAGCCCGCTGCGGCTCCCTGCTCGCGCGTAGCGGAACCTGCTGGCGCCGCCGCCGCCGCCGCCGCCGCCGCCGCCGTTCCGGCCCGCCGACGCCTGCTGCCGCTCGCTCCGCTTCTCGGCCTCGTCGCGCTCGACGCGCCACCGTGCGACGCTGAGCGGGTTCGGGAGAGGGATCGAGTCGTCGGGCGCGGAGAGGGCGGCAAAGAGAGGGGTGTAGCGCAGGGAGAGGTACCGGGCGCAGTTTTGGGCGCGGCGGAGCGTGGCCGGCGAGAGGGTGAGGTAGACGCGCGAGATCTGGTCTGTACGTGCGCGAGAGGGGACACAGTCAGTCGCAGTCGACGAGAGAGAGGATTCGAGAGGGACACCGAGACGCACCGTCAAGCGTCCTCGCGAGGTCGTCCTCGTCGGCGAGCTGCGCCGCCCTCTTCTCCTTCTGCCGCTCAGTCAACCGCGGTGCCGCCTGCCCCTGCGCCTGCCCCTGCGCCTGCTCCTCGCCGCCGCCGAGGTCGGCGAGGCCCATCGACGAGCCCGACCGGAGCCGACGCTGGAGCCCGCTGATGAGGCTCGTGCGTCGAGACGCGGGCGCCGGCTTGCTGCCCTCGCTCATGGCCGGCGACGGCGGCGCGTCGTTCGAGCGAGGGCCGAGCGGCGAGGACGCGAAGGCGGTGGGCGTGCGAGGGGACGGCGACGAGGCGAGGTCGGCAAAGTCGATGACGGTGGCGCTGCCCGCCAGCCCGCCGACGGCCCCGCCGCCCGCGCTCCCTCGCGCGCCGGCGCCGAGAGGCGAGACGGGCTCGACGGTCGCGTTGGCGGCCGGGACCGCCGAGTTTGCCGCCGTGCCGGCGCCGATGGTGGCGAGGCGAGCCTGCTGCGCCTGCTGGGTTTGCAGCGTCTGGACGAGCTTGAGCGCGGCGCCGAGGTCGACCGTCTGGAGGAGCTGCTGGAGCGAGGGCTGGTGCGCTTGACGGGCGCTCGAGGTCGACGCCGAGGGGAAGGACGCGGCGGAGGAGGAAGGTGCGGCGGACGAGGCGAGCGACTCGGTCGACGGGTACGACGGCGGGTAGCGATGGCGGTCGCCGCTGTGGGGCACAGGAGGAGGTGGCGGCAGGGGCGTGGGGGACGAGAAGGGATCGGGCGGTCGTAGCGCCGGAGGAGGAGGGCCTTGAGGGCGGACGACGCCTGCGCCTGCCCGGCCCGCCGAGTACAGCGACGACGCGAACGAGGGCGAGGCCCCGAACGGCGCAAAGCTGCCGTGCGACGGCGACTGCGACAGCGCAAAGAGCGGGTCGAGCGGGTCGTTGGTCGGCGGCGAGGGCGGGGCGGACGAGTCGAACGGCGCCGGATCTTGTCGAGGCTCGCGCGCCTTGCCCTTGCCCTTGACGTCTCGAGCGGCGAACGTGTCGTCGTACGCGGCCGGCTCGGTCCCGGCGGCGCTGAGGAAGCCCGACCCGGTGCGCGACCTGCTCGAGAGGCGCTCCGTCGAGGCGCTCGACGGCCGCGAGGCGGTCTCGGGACGAGACGGCACGTTGATGGTCGACGGCGGACGGCTGAACGAGGCGGGCTCGACGGCAAAGTGCGCGTGCGGGTGGTCGAGCCCGCCGCCGCCGGCCGTGCTGCGGCTCGCCGACAGGGACGACGGCGGCAGGTCGCGACGACGGGCGCCGCTCGTGAACGAGCTCGTGCGGGTCCTCGAGCGTGTCGCGCCCCCGAGCCCACTCAGCTCGTCGCGCCCCTCGTCCTCGCCGCCGGTGTCGGCGCTCGAGGTCGAAGTCGAGACGTCGACGCCTCGTCGCCGCAGGGCAGGGTCGCGCTCCTCGCGCCAGTCGGAGCTCGTGCGCTTGATGCCGCCGTTGAACTGCGGCGGCTGGGCGAGCGACGAGGACCTGCGGCGGCCGCCGACTCCTGCCCCGCCGACTCGGCCCTGCTGGACCCAGGTCGGCGGCTGCGCCGCGTGGAGGACGAGCTCGTCGTCGTGGCCGTCCTCGCCGACAACGACGACGTCGTCGAGTGTCGAGTGTGCTGCTGCTGCTGGGCGCTCGCTCGGGACGAGGCGGCGGGTCGACGTCGAGTGGGGTGGAGGCGCAGGCGAGGCGAGGGCGACGTTGCCTGGCGAGGGCGACATGCGGGTGCCCTGCAGGCTGTCGAGCCTGGCCCGGGCTGCTGGAAAGCCGGAACGCGCAGCGAGCGAGCGCGAGAGCTGTGCGGAGCGACTGCCTCGTCGTCGCCGCCGCCGCCGAGTTGCAAATCGAGGCCAACCTCGTCCCCCTCTCACAGTGAGACGCAGAGCTTGTCGGCACACGTACAAGGCACTCAGAAGGGGCGCAGCGACACCGGCTCGAGACAGGAGCGGGTCTGCTTCATTGGCTCTCTTTCGGCTCTCTCGCCCGCCGCTCTCCTGGCCCGGACGAGAAGAAAGCACAGATCGGTACTGATTCACCTCGTGTCGGCGACGACGACCTCCCGCCCTCGCGCCGGTAGCCGCCGCCCTCGGCCCGCCTCTCGAGCCCCTTCCGCCCTTGCGCGCTCACTTGGCGCCGCCGAGCACCTTGTTGACCTGGCTGCGCAGGCCCATGAAGGACGTGACGGTGCCGGCGAGGCCGATGACGCCGTCGTTGAGCGAGTGGAAGCCGAGCGTGCCCGAGGGAATGAGGATGTCGAGGCTGTCCTGCACGAGCTGGTACCTCGTCGCCGCCTGCTGCCTGCGGGCCAGGGCGCCAGAGAAGAAAGCTCCGAGTCAGTCACGAGATCGCGACGGCGAGGGGGCAGGGGCAAAGAGGGCGAGGCGACGCACGTGCGGATCGTCTTGAGCTCCACCTTGCGCTCGTCGACCTTCTCGCCGCCAAACGCCCTGCGCACGGCCGCCTCGCGCTGCTGGAGGCCGTACAGCTTGTACGCGCTGCACACGATCGAGCACGCGATGCCCGTCATCCACAGGCGCGCCGCCCGGAGCTGGATGCGCTTGTACGTGACGGGCGAGAACGAGACGACCTTGGCCGAGTGGAGCTGCGCACGAGAGACAGACGCCGGGTCAGGATGCGTGCGCCACGACGGGACGACGACGAAGATGCAGGGAGAGAGGGGACGCACCCAGACGAGCATGTCGTGGACGAGATAACCGGCGTACCCGACCTGGCGGCCGACGGTGGTCAACTTGAGGACCGAGTCCTGGATGTCGAGGCTCTTGACGGCGGCCTGGGCGTGCTCGAGCGGCTTGCCGATGCGCATGACTGTGCGCCGTCGCAAGACGTAAGCAGGCGTCCGTCCCGAGAGACGAGAGACGAGCCGCGGCAGGGAGGAAAGGCGGGACGCACGCTTGCGCGACAGGCCGAGGGTGCTCTTGAGAGCATTGAGGCGCGCGACCGTCTCGTTCGAGTAGCCCTTGCGAAGGCAGTCTGCGCGCGAGGGAGAGAGAGAGAGAGAGAGTCAGCCCCGAGATCCGCGTGCGCCGAGGAAGGCCCAGCTCGGGGCTGTGCAACGGCGAGCAGGATGGGGGACGCACACCAGGCGAGGAAGCGAGAGTAGTACTGGATGGCGCGGTACAGCTTGTCGCGGCCGACGGTGGTCGAGCCGACCTTGAGGGAAGCCGAGATTGCCGGGTGAAGGACGAGCTGGTGGACGACGGTCTGCGAGGGCGGGCCAAGGGGGAGGCGGTGAGCTGGCGTGCCTGTCGCTGTGCAGGGCGTGGGCAGACTCACCATAGTGTGCGAGAGGGGGGGCGAGTCGGGCGTGAAAGGGAGGGTGAGCGGGAGGTGGGGGGACGAGGTCGAAGTGGGTGAACGCGAGGGCTGCTTGTGCGGCGAGTGGTCGGTGCTGGAGAGACGCTGGCGGTGTATCTGGGCAAGCTGTGCCGCTCGAACAGGAGTGAGAGGAGAGCGAGAGCAAGAGCGACGTCCGGCAACTCGCTCGCGCTCGCCGGCCCTGGCCCTCGCCCTTGGCCACCACCACCACCGCCACGATGCGCTGGACCAGCTTGCTCCCACTCGCACTCGCTGCCCTCTCGCCATCCCACGTACTCGCAGCCCGCGAAACCCTCGACGAGGCTGGTCCGTCCCCCTCCTTCCTCCTCCTCGCCCTCCCCGATCGGCGACACACGGGCTCAGCACAGCCACCTCGCCCGACGCGCTTCACAGGAGCTGACCGTTGCTCTCCCCCCTGCAGCCGTCCATGTCCGCGAGCTCATCTCGTACCGCGCATTCAACACGGGCGTCCTCATGAGCGTCTTCCCCGACGACGCCCAGGTGCCTGTCCCGGGCCTCCCCTTCGGCCTCCAGGAGTACTACGCCGAGTACCCAGACTCGAACGGCGACATCCTCCTGCTCGCCATGCCCATCGCCGCCGTGAGTTGCACCCCGCGCCTCGCTCCGCCACCACCTCGGCCCGCCTCCTCGCTCAAGCCTCGCTCTCCCTCTCGTCGACCTCGCACTGACCTCTGAAGCGCACACACAGATCTACCGCAACGCGCTGCCGCCCAACCCGCCCAACCTGACCCTCACCATCAACGACATGTACGGCTTCGGCAAGGGCAACCTCGCCGCCGGCCGCATGCGCGTCGCCCTGTACGGCACCCTCGAACCCGTCGAGGACGAGAACGAGGCCGAGCGGTGCCACCAGGCCTATCTCGCAGGTGCGTCAAGCGTTCTCTCCCTCGAGCGCGCAGTGGTCGAGTCCGCACTGACTCGTTTCCTCTCGAGCAGCCCACCCCGACGCTCGCGGCTGGATCGGCGCCGGCGGCCCGCACTCGAACTTCTTTGCCCGCATGCGCGTCAACAAGGTCTACGCCTTTGTGCGTCGACGCTCCTCCCCTCGTTCGCGCACGCGCGCACGACCCTGTCCCTCGACTGACCTTCCATCGCCCTCCTCGCTCGCGCGTGCAGAACGGCTTCGGCGACGTTGCCTACATCGGCTGGGTGCCGCTCGACCTGTACCGCGAGTCGGGCGCAAAGATGCGCTCGGCCAAGGAGGCGCACCGCGACTGGCCCGTGCCACGGCAGCCCGAGGAGGCCGGCCTCGCAACGCTCTTTGGCGAGCAGCTCGACCAGGAGGAGGGCGAGGCCGAGGGCAAGGCGAAGGCGCGGTTCCGAATCCAGTGGTGAGGCGAGCCGATGTCTGTTCTCTATGCCTCGTCACTCGCGTGTCCTCCCTCTCGTACAGTCTCTCCCTTGTGTCGGACCCCTGCATCGCTCGTTCCTTTACTCGTTCTTTCTCTCTCGCCGTGGGCAGAGCGAGTGAGCTGCGCAAGCGAAGCGAGAGGTGTCGAGCGTGGATGAGGCTGAAAGGAGCGCGTCGTCGTCGTTGCCGAGGGGTCGTCACCGTGAGGCGATCCTCGCCTTGCTCCTCCACCACCGCCCCCGGCCATGCTGCAGACGCGGCTAGCACAAGCTGCCAGGCCATCTGCGCTACTGCGCCAACCGTTGCCGCGCACACTGCGCCCGCGGCAGCTCCACGCGCCGCCATCTCGCCCGCCTCCTCCTCCTCGATCGCCCGTCGCACCTCGACCACGACCAGGCCACGGCGAGCAAGGGCACTCGCAGCACGCCCACTCGCGCCTGCACTATGCCCTCGTGCCCGTCGCACTCGGCCTCGGAGGCCTGTCGTCGACCCTCCTGTGCGACTCGCCGCCCGAGCCGAAGCACTCGCTCAAGTCGATCCTCGCCAACGTCGAGAAGCCCAACACGGACGAGTTCCTCGTCGCCGTCAACGGGCGCGTCGTCGAGGACGACGACGACCTGCCGGGCGGCCGCCGCTGGGTGCGGCGAGTGCGCCGGTTCCTGCGCGAGTACCTCGTCGAGCCCCTCGCGACGAGCGTGCGCTTCGTCCAGCTCGCCCTCATCTTCCTCCCCGTCATCATGTCGGCCCCAATCCTCGCCCTCGAGCTCGTCGACGAGACGCGCGACCGCCGCCGAGGCCGCAAGGTCCGCACGAGGGAGCGCAAGACGACCCGGTGGTGGTACCGTCTCCTCGTCCACCAGATGGAGATGGCCGGTCCGACTTTCATCAAGGTGCGTCCCTGCCCTCTTTCCCCTTCCGCTCCCTCCGTGTCCGACCCGAGCTGACCCACGCCCTCGCCCACAGCTCGCCCAATGGGCCGGCTCGCGCACCGACCTGTTCCCCGCCGAGCTGTGCACCCTGTTCGGCCGGCTGCACTCGCAGGGCGGCGGCCACTCGTTCCGCTACACCAAGCGCGTCATCGAGCGCGCGTTCGGGCTCCCGTTCGCCCAGATCTTTGCCGAGTTCCGCGAGGAACCGCTCGGCATCGGCGCCATCGCCCAGGTGTACCGCGCCGTCCTCAACCCGGACCTCCTCCCCGAGGACTACCTCACGCTCAAGCACGTCGAGGACCCGGCCCCGACGGCGCGCCTCACGCGCACGATCGCGCCCAGGACCGACGACAAGCGGCCGCCCCGAGTTCCCGGCGCGACCGTCGCCATCAAGGTCCTGCACCCGGGCGTCGAGAAGAAGATCCGGCGCGACCTCAAGATCATGATGTTCTTCGCCAAGGCGCTCAACGCGCTCCCCGGCATGGAGTGGCTCAGCTTCCCCGAGGAGGTGCAGGTCTTTGGAGAGATGATGATGAGCCAGGTCGACCTGCGCATCGAGGCCAACAACCTCGGTCCGTCCCTGTCTCTCTCTCTCTCGGTTCCTCGTCTGTCCTCGCGCCTGACGCAGCTCCCCCTCGTCGCAGTCACGTTCGAGAAGTTCTTCATGCACCGCCCGACCGTCTCGTTCCCGCGCGCCCTCAAGCAGTACACGGCGCCCCGGGTCCTCGTCGAGGAGTTTGAGGACGCCGTCCCGCTCGAGGCTTTCCTCCAGAACGGCGGCGGCGCGTTCGACCACCGCATCGCCAACCTCGGGCTCGACGCCTTCCTCGTGCGTCGCCTCGCTCTCTCCCTCTCCCTCTACTCGCGCCGCCGACGATCCTGACGACGTTCGACGTCCTGCAGAACATGCTCCTCATCGACAACTTTGTCCACTCGGACCTTCACGTGCGTCCCTGTCTCGCCGTCTCCTCTCGAGGCCCGTCTCTGACTACCTCTCTTCCTCCCCGCAGCCCGGCGTGCGCTCCCTTCTCCTTGTCGTCACGACCCCTTCCCGTCCTCGTCACTGACTCGTACACGCACCTGCAGAACATCATGATCAAGTTCTTCAAGCCCTCGACCCGGAGCGTCCTCAACTCGCTGTGGGCTACGTGGCGCGACAAGCCCGAGCCGGACGCGGCCGAGTCGAGCGACAACCCTCGCGGGCTCGAGATTGTCCACCGCCTGCGGTCGCTCAAGCACGACAAGGAGGCGTGGCTCGCCGAGCTCGACGCGCTGCACGCCGAGGGGTTCGAGCCCGAGATTGTCTTTATCGACACGGGCCTCGTCACGCACCTGAGCGACACGAACCGGCGCAACTTTCTCGAGCTGTTCACGGCCGTCGCGAGCTTTGACGGGTACCGCGCCGGGCAGCTCATGGTCGAGCGGTGCCGCGCCCCGGAGCTCGTCCTCGACGAGGAGACGTTCGCGCTCAAGATGCAGAAGCTCGTCCTGAGCGTCAAGAGCCAGACGTTTTCGCTCGCCAAGATCAAGATCTCGGACGTCCTGTCGCAGGTGCTCAACAACGTGCGCGACCACCACGTCAAGATGGAGGCCGACTTTGTCAACACGGTCATCTCGATCCTGCTCCTCGAGGGGATCGGGCGCCAGCTCGACCCGGAGATGGACCTGTTCAAGAGCGCGCTTCCGATCTTGCGCCAGCTCGGCAAGCAGGTCGGCACCGAGCAGGTCATGAGCCAAGCGGGCAAGATGGACTTTCAGAGCCTCGCGAGCATGGCCAAGGTGCGTCGCCGCCGCCTGGCCCTTTCAGCCTCTCGCCTCTCCCTCTCTCTGCGGCACAAAGACTGATGGCTCTTTCGCCCTGTCGCGCACAGGTCTGGGTCTGGATCGAGGCGCGCCAACTCGCGTCCATCGCCAAAGGCGACGTCGACGACTTTGTCCGCTACGACTAGTGCGTCCCGCCTCTCTCTCCCTCTGCTCGTCCCTCTCGAAGCACCTGTCACTGACCTGTCCTGTCCTCTCGTCGCACAGCCTCATGCCCAACGTCTAGCGCGCGCCGCTCGCGCCTCGCCGATCCTGCCTCCCTCGCCCTCGCTCCCTCACTCTCTCCCTTCCTCGTCCAGCCTCGACCTCGCCCTCACCCTGTTGTCCCCATCCTCGATTGATCCGCACCTTGTACATCGCCGCCCTCGCACCCCTCTCGCTGCGGCGCCGTCCTCCTCGTGTAGAAAGCTCTCCTCGCGCTCAGTCCTCCTGCCACTTAGACCTCGTATCCCTTTCGTCTCTCGCGCCTTGTCACGTCTCGTCGAGAGCGAGTAGTGAGAGTCTTTCCATGTACAAATCGCGGCGGCCTTGGGACAATCTACGCCGTCGGCTGCGCCTCGCTCCAGCTGCCGCTCCCGTTGCCCTCCTTCCACTCGTCGAGGTAGGCGCCAACCTTGGAGACGACGTCGGGGGCGCCCATGCTGCGGCCGAAGGCGTCGACAAACTTGCCGCGCGGGTCCATGAGGTAGAAGAAGATCGAGTGGTCGACGAGGTAGTCGTCCGAGGGGGACGCGTCGGGCGGGGTCGAGAAGTAGACGCGGCTGTCGGGGCAAGGTGCGGTGCGGTGTAGTGCGTCGAGAGCGGGTGAGGAGGTGGGAGGGAGAGCGGTCAGTGATCGAGGTGGCTGCGACGAGGGAGCACGAGGACGAGGGCGACATCGTCTGAGAGGAGAGCGGTGCGACGCACTAGGCCTTGCACGTCTTCTTGATGTCGGCGTACGTGCCTGTGAGGCCGACGAGCGAGGGGTGGAAGTCTGCATGGACGAGAGCGTGTGAGCGTCTAGACGTCCCTGCTCTAGGTTGAGAAGGCCGACCGCGACGAGCGCCCTTCCTGCCCGACCAGGTCCAGGAGAGAGTCGGGACGCACCCTTGACGTAGCTCTTGACGGCCTTGACGTCGTCGCGAGCCGGGTCGCACGTGATGAAGACGGGGAGGATGTCGGTCTCGTGCGACTTGGCTGCTCGGCGGTGCGGGTGGGTGAGCTTGAGGTGCGCAGGTCGGACGAGAGGACAGGGGACGCACCGATCGACTCGACGACGGTCGTCATCTTGTCGAGCTCCTCGGGGCAGATGTCGGGGCAGTTGGTGAAGCCGAACTGCGTGGGCGAGGAGGCGTGAGCAACGGCGGCTCGGGGGGCAAGGAGGGAAAAGAGGGGCGACTCACGTAGACCATGCTCCAGTTGCCGAGGAGGTCCTGGTCGGAGAAAGGCTTGCCGTCCTGATTGGTGAGGGCGAACGGGCCACCGATCTTTGGCCTGCCGACGCGGGCTGCGGCGTTCTCCATGCGCTTGCGCTCGCGGACCTTGTTCTTCTCGTTGTCGAAGTAGAAGTAGAGTCCGACACCGGTGGCGAGGAAGAGGGCGCCGGCCTTAAGGGTGAAGGGCTGCCGATGCGAGGAGAGAGTGAGGTTCAGGACAGGGAGGCGGTGCTCGCTGAGAGAGAGAGGGAGAGAGAGAGGGGACGCACGCCGGCCTGGGAGCGGTTCTGAGCTGCGGGAGCATCTGCCTGGTTGGCGCTGGCTGTAGGGCCTGGGGCCGGGGTGGGTGCAGGAGGCGGCGTCGGGTGCGATGATGAAGGAGGGGGAGGAGGAGGGAGAGGGGTGGAGCCAGGGCGGATGGCGAAGAAGAAGGGTGCCACTTGAGTGCGGTCACGACTGCGTTTTAGCGCTCTTCCATTCAGAACCAGTGGATCTTGCGCAGATACTGCAACATCTCCCGAGCCCCTCTCAAATTACCCGCACTTGAAGATTTTGGTCGCCCTGCACTCATGACGGTGACGCCCTACTCTAGTTGCCCTGTGCT